TCCTGAAATTTGGTCCTGGTCCAACGTCAACTTATCAAAATCTCTGGATGTGAAACATCAGAGTAGCATGTCATGAAGCATCCTAAGACTGTGCAAGGTGTGAATCTCTCTTCCCTTTCCCCCTGTGTGAACTTGAGCTGCTGTCTGTGGTGTATTTCAAATTCTTAATGACCAAGTCGATCTCATACCTCATTTGATGGTTTTAAGGGAAACTGCTTAAGAAATCAAACACCAAAGATGTCCTGCTAGAGGTAAAAGACAGGGAAAGGGATCGTTGTTGCTGTGGGATGGGGTAGGAGTGTGCAGTAATCATCTTGGTTACCATCCACAAGTAAATCTTCTGCATACAGTGGGTCATATGAAGGTTTCGTTTTTGGGTGAAGAAGTGTGAGAAATGATATATTCAACACTCACCAAGTTATTTTCTAGTCCTCTGAGTTGACAGCAAAGGAAGGGGGTGGTGCAGAAAAAAAAAATCAGAAGAATTCTACACCACTTCTTTGTACAGCACAATGAAGCAGCAGTTAAGAGGAACGGGAGAGTAAGTTACAAACGTTTGGGAATAAAAAGCAAGGTGAGAATAGAAAATGTAAACATAACTTAGAGATTCCCTATGGTTCTCTGAAGTATAGACAGGTGCTACTTGAAAAGGAAGTAATATCCTTGCTCTGGTAACTTAAATCTTTTTTTTTAAACAAAAAGTCTTTTCTGAACATGAATTAGAAAGTGAAATTAATGCTCCTTTTTTATTAGATGGGAAATAGGATAATTATTTATATTGTGATTGCTAAGTGGCTTTAAAAGTCATTTTCATATTGTAGGTAATATCGTTTAGGATAATATTTTCCCTGATAAAGCTGTCATGAGAAATTTGAAAATAAAAGTATTAAAGGCAGCACAGTTACTTTACTATCATTCAAATAAACTATTCTAAACTATATATGGCTCTTAACATTTAATGAAGCTTTTTTAAACCTAAGAATGTTGGTCCTTGGGTAAGGTCTCTAGTCTTTTTTCTGAGAGTTAGATGTACGTGCCTGGGTATACTCTGTCAAAGGTGTACTCACTTTAGTCTAAAGATGATTTGTAGGTCTAGTTCATATTCCTATAGCTGCCATAAAACATACAACTAAATCATATTAGATTAACACAGGCTGGTATTGACAGCCCACTGGGAACATATTGATTAGGTCCCCTTTCATGTTATTTGTTATGATTTTTCTTCTCAGTTTCATTTACTGGGAGGACACAGGGGAAGAGATTTCACAGGGAACAATGACAGTGCCTGTCACAAAATGTTCTCAATGTTTCCATTTGTTGCTATGGCAGTGACAAAGAGGGTTCCAAATGAAAAGGCAGACCTGCTGTGACAAAGCACAGCAGGACAACAGGAAGAAATTTTCAACTGACCTGGGAAATTAGGAAATCATACTTAGAGATTATAGAATTGTCTCCATTTCCAAGGGTACAATCGTGGCGCTTTGGCTTTTGAGGGAGAATGTGAAAAGGGTAGTGCCATCAGGGCTGGCTAGTGACAAGTAAAGGGGAGACATTAGAAAGTGTTTAAGATCTCCAAATAGAACAAGGAGGTATGCTTGTAGAGGTTAGAGGGATTTGTCACTGTTACCAAACCCTTGAGATGGAACTATGAATTTAATTTATGTTCCTTTGGGGTACTCATTTTAAAATTATACATGAAAATCTATGATGTAGTCCTGTATCTCTTATGTGGCTAATAAGAACGCATGGCACTCTGGTATTGGGATATGTAATATCAGCACACAGTAGGTGAAGCCATGGTTTATCTAAGAACTTGAAATCGGGACTGGAATATAGTTATGCAAAGTCACAAAAGAAAGAAATGCTTGTAAGCCAGCAAACTTGAAAGTAATAGGAGGAATATATTAACCATCTAAAGATAAAATGTGTCAATCAGAAAGGAGACATGTTAATCAGGCAATAAAGCAAAGAAAAAGAAACTACATAGTAAATGCAAAAGTTGCCATCATTGCCTCTCCATTCATGATCAAGGTAGAAGAGTATACTTCAAAAGATAAGAGTATTTCCAATCCTACTAGAAAGCCTTCCCCTGGTGTAGAGATGGGAGTAGGGGATTTTAGCCAATGGATTTTTGAGGATTTCCAACTAACCAGAACATCTCTATTGTAAGATGGATGTATCAGCATTCATATAACTCCCTGTATTCAGATTCCATGCTGACCAAGCGAGTTTATGATCTGGCTTTCTGTATCTCTGTAGTGCAATCAATTCTACTGCTTAGCAAAAAGCTCCTGGTTCAAACTCACCTGGGATTAAGTCCTTCGATTCTCTTCCCTTTCACTTTATTTCCTGCAACAATCTTACCCCAGAGTCCTAAGAATCCTATCATGTAACAAAACCTCCTGTTCAATAAATGAAGTCATCTATTCAGTCAATAGGAACACTCTCTCTGGCAAAACCAGCTTTTGTTAGTAAGGTGGGTCTGTGGTTCTGAGTCCTAATGATGAGATTTCCCTAAAAGTTTAGAGAAGCAGTACAGTTCAGACTGCCTGGGTCTGAATCCTGGCTCTGCTACTTTCTAGCTACGAGAATTTGGGCAAGTTACCTAACCCCTCTGTGTCTCAGTTTTCTCATCAGTAAAATGGGGTTAAAAATAACCTACTTCAAGGAGCTTTTATGAACATTAAACGAGTTAATATATGTAAAGTGCCTAAGATATCAATTGGCTAGTAGGTGCTGCATATATGTTATCTATGCTATTACTATATAGCTTGATGTACATAGACAGAATGTGCTGAACATGCCAGCATAAGTATTCCTTGTTAAAATGACATTAGAGTATTCATCTCATTGCATGACTCAGTCTTTCAGGATCTGAATATCCTGGGAACCGATGAGAGTAGGGTTAAAATGAGAAAAATGGCTACTTAATTGAGGTTTTACCAGTAAAGTTCTGCCTAGTTTCAGCTTGACTTCCACTTTCTCTATACTGATTTCAACAGTGCATAGTGAAATCCAGGGTATGATGAAAGTGAACAAAGTGAGGAGGCTGCCAACATATTACAAAAGGGGTTGGCAAACCATACCCTGAGAGCCAAATCCAGCCCATGCTCTGTTTTTGTACAGCTGGAGAGCGAAGAAAGGTTTTTACATTTTTAGAGTACTGCAAAAAACCAAAAACAAAACAAAAAGCAAGCAAGAAAACAACAAGAAGAATATGCAGTATACGGCTTGCAAAGCCTAACGTATTCACTGCCTGGCCCTTTAGGAAAAAAGGTTTGCAGATCCCTGTTCCACACTCTTTCATTTTTACTTACCTCACTGTACCCCAAGAATAAGTATATAAATGAGTCTGGGTAAGTAGAGTGAGATAAGAAAGAGGCTGAAAATCCTGTAACAAAGAGCCCAAGGGCTTTGATGATATAGTTCATTTATCACTCTAACTGTAATACAAATGGCTAGCTAGCTGTTCCTATTTTAGTATCCTAAGAATGACTTCTCTCTTCCTCAAAAAGTCTATATATTCCTACCTCGTAGTGGAAGCATTATAGGTAGTTAGGGGTCTATAAAGGAATCTGTTGTTGCAAGGCCAGGAAGCCCCAGGCCTCAGGCCCAGGAGCAGTGCCTAATTAGGTCACTATCGTATCTATAACAGCCTCAGGATGTACCCAACGAAATAGCAAAGAAAGAGAATACTTACTGTTTTAAGTATTTTAAAGTGCTTAAATAACACACACACAAGTTATAAATTTAAAAGTTTCTGTACTAAGATTCCTAGTTTAACCAATTTCTAACCAGGAAATCAATAGTGTCTCCTTAATGTATTACAGAATTTGGCCCAACTCTGGATAAGGTATTTTTAGGCTACATGGGTTTACAGCTCTGAAGCGGTACGGAATAGGAAAAACAGCTGCAAAATAATCAGTGATGAAGCCTTTCAGAGCAAAGGAATAAAAGATACGTGCGTGACAGTAAAGTAGAACATTATTTGTTGTATGTACTCTTTCCAAAAAAGATGGCATGGGGTATGCTACCAGTCTAATGGTAAACAGCTCATTTAAGACTAGGCATGAAAAGTTTCAAAGAAGGAAACATGAAAAATTTATGCTAGTGAACATTAAAAGAATATAAATATTTTAAGTAACACTAAGTTCAAACCATTATACCACCTTAAATAAGTTTCCCATAATTCAACTTATCTTCCAAGGAAAGGAAGACAAGGGTCAGCTCCATTTGCCTTTTTTTCCTTGTCTTGCTTGATGTTATGAGAAATAAAGGTCAGGAAGGACTCTTCTGGGCTATCACTCAGGAGTCTAAAGCTTTCTAGAGATCTTAACCTAGCTTAACTACACTTGGCTAGAAGGAGTTCAGACATATGAAAAGAACTTTTGAATCCGATTTTACATCAATCTGTTATCAAGCCAAAACTCTTCCAATTGTCTTGATCTTATTTTTTGACTACTCACTCCAAAAATGATTTAGTTTTTGTAAACTGTGCCAGTTCTTATTGAACCTTAATGAGACAAAAATTTAACCGTACCTGGTACAATAAACATCCAACTATTGTGTTAGAAACAGATGTTTTAACTAAAGGATATAATCCAAAGACATCATCCTTAGCTATTAGCGTACTATTAATATTCACAATGTGTTTTAAAGAACAATTTGTTAACATTTAAGCCTGAAGGGCTATGAATATACTATGTACTGTCTTGATGCAGCTTGTTTATGCAACATTCTGACAGACACAATTAATCTTGTGAAAATGACTGGGATATAGCGTAACAGTAAATTATCTTTAAGCCCAGAATACATATTTTCCTGTAGTAATATACCCTCATAACACAATGATAGTAGCATATGGAAAAAAACATCAGGAATTAATTATTTAAAAGCAGAAATTAAAAGTTACTATATTCATAAATCTTGGCTATGTGGCAGAGACAGGGTTAAAGGAAATGTTTAACTTGTAAGTAAGTATGAAATAAATGAGTCTGTACCTCCAACAAATGCATCTCCAGCTCCATTGGTATCAACAATTTCTTTCTGGTCTTGATCCAAGACAGTAAAAGCGGTGACTTCACTTTCTGCAATTAGAGCCAAAGAAAAGCGAACTGACTTCTCTTTGTAAACACTCAATATACAAACTCACCCAGGAAAGCTTGAAGCTCCTACATCAGCCAAAGAGAGAGACAGAACATGAGGCCCATATTCTGTACATGAGCACTTGGGAACCAAGGTGAAAAGCCATCTGTAAGCAATGCTTTTTGGTATTTTCAGCATACAGATGTTGTATGTGTTTTGTTAAGAGTTATACTTAGGTAGTTCACATTTTTGAGGAACAACGGTAAATGGTAGCAGTACCTTTTTGGACAGTAAAAATACTTGAACAGAAACTATGAGCTAAAGGAAGTATTAAGTACTAGATCATGGATCTCTAATAAAGCATCAAGCCTGGCTACATTCCTGGCAATGAAATCTTGGATATAGTTAAAGAGCTATAAATTTAAAAAATACAAATAATGAGTCTTGAGTGTTTCTCTATAGAAAATCACAATGGCACAATAAAAATATAACTACTATTCTGAATAATACTTGATGCCAATGTCAAGGATTACTGATATTAGTTGGTTTATAACGGATAACTTAATCTGGTTACTTTTTACAACGGTGTCACTATTTCCTCCAAACTATCAGTCAAATAACAAAAGGGAAAGCTACCACTGAATGCATGGGCAGAACAAAATGGACTGTGCAATGAGCTCTTCTCTTACAGCAGCCTGGACTTGGTTCTTGGTTCTTTTGACTACAGAGTAACCTAATACACTACTTTAAACTTGGCACATGACAGTGGAATGGCGTTACAGTAGTCTCCGTTATCCAGTTTTGCTTTTTGCGGTTTCAGTTACCCGCGGTCAGCTAAAGTCTGAAAATATTATGTGGAAAATTCCAGAAACAAACAATTCATAAGTTTTAAGTTCCACACCATTCTGAATACCATCCCAATCCATCCTGCCCTGGATATGAATCATCCCTACATATGCCACCTGTAAGTCACTCAAGTAGCTGCCTCGGTTATCAGATTGACTGTCACTGTGCTGCAGTGCTTGTGTTCAAGTAACCTTTATTTTACTTACTAATGGTCCCAAAGCACAAGAGTAGTGATGCTGGAGATTTGGATATGCCAAAGACAGGCCATAAAGTGCTTCCTTTAAGTGAAAAGGTGAAAGTTCCTGACTTAATGAGGAAAGAAAAAAATATTATATGTTGAGGTTGCTAAGATAGATCTACAGTAAGAACGAAGCTTCTATCTGTGAAATTGTGAAGAAGGAAAAAGAAATTTGTGTTAGATTCGATGTCGCACCTTAAACTGCAAAAGTTATGGCCAGAGTATGTGACAAGTGCTTAATTAAGATGGAAAAGGCATTAAGTTTTGGGGTAGAGGACATGAACAGAAAATTTATTCCTGTTGACGGCAACGTGCTGCGCCAGGAAACACTGAGCCTATAGGAACACTTCAGCCAGAGTCCCCTGAAACAAGTGACAGCCAAGCCATTTACTGCAAGTAAAGGATGGTTACAGATTCAGTAAAAGATTTGGACTGAAAAATGTAAAAATTATTGGAGAGGCTGTGTCTGCTGATGAAGAAGCTACTGCCGCATTTCCGGCAGTGCTGAAGGAGGTGATTAAGGAGATAGCATATACCATCCAAAGTAAGTCTTCAGTGGTGATGAAACTGGGCTCTTCTGGAAGAAGATGTCCAATAGAAGCTACATTCATAAAAGTGCAAAGGAGGCACCGGGGCATAAAACATGGAAGGACAGATGAACATTGGTACTATGTGGCAACACTGCAGGGCATATGATAAAACCAGGTGTAGTATGCATAGTGTTCAGGATGAAGAACCCATGTGCTCTCAAAAACAAAACCAAAAATTATCAGAAAGCATGGGTGACAGTTATCTCATTTATGGGATGCTTCCACCAATGCTTCATCCCAGAAGTGAAAAAATATTTGGAAGAAGAAAGCGTGGAATTTGAAGTCCTATTAATAACAGATAACGTACCTGGTCATCCTGAATTGTTACAAAAGTGAAAATGTTGAGGTTGGAATTTTATCTCCAAATACAACTTCACTGCTTCACCCCTTTTACAAGGGCATCATTCAGTTTGTCCAGGTCACATACACCCACCCTGTATTTGATCATATTTGATCAGCAATTGATGCAGACTCTAATCTGGACACAATGCAGTGCTAGAAATCATTCATTATTACTGACACAATAACATTCATCAAAGCTGCAGTGGATGAATTAAAACCAGAAATTGTAAAGGCCTGCAGTCATGAATGATTTTAAAGGCTTCCTGGGGATCAGTGGAGAAGTTAGGAAAATCATTCACACAGTAAGAAGGATTTGCCAACATGCTTGATGAAGCAGCAGAACACATCAAAGACCATGGAGAAATGTTAACAAATGAGAAAGTAGAAGAACTTGTTGAGTCATTTACAGAGGAAGAGAAAGATGATGAAGAAGAAAGTGGAGCAGAACCAGCAACTCGAACATTACCAAAATTTGCTGAAGTGTTTCAAATTGCACAGACTTTAAAGGACAAAATTAGGGAATAAGATCCTTGGATGGAATGCAGCATTAAAGTCACCCTTATAATCACTGAAGGATTCAACCTCTGTAGCAAAACACTGATGAGTTAAAAAGAGACAACTTCCAATTACAATGTTCTTCCAAAAGGTTTCAGTGAAACAAATAAACAAACACAAACGAAAACCCTTCAGCTATTGAGGATGCCCAACCATGGACATCATCTGCTGCTGATATCCAACCATCGACATCATCATGGCTTGATGATTCTCCTTCTGACGTTATCATCAGAAGGTCAATGTTAGCCTAATGATACATCACAATATCTGTGTCATTCACCTCACCTCATTTCATCACACAGGCATTGTATCATATCCTATCATCATAAGAAGGGTGAGTACAGTACAATAAGATAATTTGAGAGAGAGAGACCACATTCACAAATTTTTTTTTTTTTTGGCCATGCCCCATGGTATGCGGGTTCTTATTTCCCCAACCAGGGATGGAAACCTGCTCCCCTGCAGTGGAAGCATGGAGTCCTAACCACTGGACCGCCAGGCAATTCCCATCACATAATTTTTATTACAGTATATTATTGTAATTGTTATATTTTATTATTATTCATTGTTGTTAATCTCTTACTATGCCTAATTTATAAATTAAACTTTATCACAGGTATGTATGTACAGAAGAAAAACAACATAGTATATATAGGGTCTGGTACTATCCACAGTGTCAGGAACCCAATGCGGGTTTTGGAACATATCCCCAGCAGGTAAGGGAGATTACTGTATCTGTGATGAAATTTGGCCTAGAGGACATTTGTAAAAGACTGAATAGTGCTTTTCATTGGCGTCTGGAACTTCTGAAACTACAAATTTGCATCCTTTATGGGGACAAATGTGGCCAAAGCGCTATAAACTTCAATCTCATCTAAGATCAAGAAGGAGAGAAAAGGAAATCTTGGAAATTTTAAGGTCTTAATAAAGAACCTAAGACTCTCAAAAAGCATGTTCTGTTTGCCTTTTGCTACCTGCTACTAATGGATACTTTCAACAAGAGATAAACAAAGTGATGATAACGAAAAAAAGATCCTCCTGGAAAGACTGATATTCAAGAAGAGGACTCATTCACTTAGTGATGTCTTTTGACTGTAGATGCTAAGAAGATTCCATATTAGAAGTACCTGTTTAAACTCTTTAAGTACTACCTTTCCACACTTTGTAACACCAGACGTACATGAAGTTGACAAGATTTTGATTAATTGGAAGTTAAGGCATAAACATCCAGGATTAAATTTTCTAGGGAGTATGCAGTACAGACTGCTACGCAGGCCAAAAAAAAAAAAAAAAGATATAAGCAGACTTTATTAGAAATAATTAGGAAAGGAAAGGGCTACAGTCTGGTTTAGGGAAAGGTCTGTACCATAAATATTTATAAAGAAATCTGATTTTATTACTTCCAAGTACAAGTCATACTATAAAGGGAATTAACAACTATAAACTAAGAACAAACAGGCGCTAAACAAGTAAAATGAGCTAAGTTAGTGACACCATTACCATTTATAATAAGGTTATATTATGTAATAATATAACACATCTATAAAACATTTTAGGTAATATAAGAATTAATTCCTGGATTACAGATTAAAATAATCACATATAAATAAGTAAGCTGCAATTAGATATAATTCCTTGAGTTCTTTGTTTAAAAAAGTTATTGACTTTTGATTGGATATATCTTTATTTATGAATAAAACCTAATTCACAATGGAAGAGTCTATCTGAATTTTGTTCTTAAGAATCATGACTTTTTGTTTAAATTAGCAAAAATTCTAAATGAATGCAGCTTTACCACACTTTTTTCTGGATATATGTGTAGATCCTTGAAATCCTTTACCCTTAGGTGTCATATGAAGTTCAATTTCCTGAAACATAAAGTAGAAATATTTTCCACTTTTTGTACTTATTAATTCAAATAAGTATATAAGAATATTAAGAATGTAAAAAGAGCTGTCATAAATTGGTACACAGTCCAGGCTCTATTATCTTCTGCATCTAGAGAGCTATATTATGAGAACTCCTTTCAAAATAATAATGCTGAAAATTTGCAAGATCTTGAATGGTGTTCCAAATCATTGAAAAGGGATTAAACACGTTACGTTCTTATTTTGAAATACAATGATCTAAGCTGGTTTACAGAGTTATTAAAAAAACTCCCACCAACTAAGTAAATGGTATTCACCAGCATGACCCATTCCATAGCCTTCTAGTCAATTTATTGTATGAACATACAAAGTACCTAACTAAATCTTAAGACACACTTATAGGCATGGGCATTATTCAGCCAATGAGGCCCAAGACACTCACAACACTCTTACTGGGATCTTGTTTTCTTAGGTGTGAAATGGGACTGGAGTAGCTGTGGGAACAAGTAGCAAAAATAGCTTTTTGCCTTAGTTATGGAAAAATGACACTTAGTTCTGATCAA